GCCCAACCATTTAGTCCAGTCCAACATTTGGCATTCTAATGGCCCAATATCATATAACCATCAAGACCGAAAATATGGCCCAATTTTCCAATTTTGGCACAAACCCTCATACAGGCCTTACCTTAAGTCCATTAAATTATTCTAATCCATTTGCTTGCTCTTGGATGGTCCATTATTATCCCAATCACCAAGGCCCAATAGGAAGGCCCAACTCAAGTCCAAGTGAAATTAGGGTTTCACATAAAATGACAATTAAGATTAAGTGTTTCTCACTTAACTCATTAAGGACTTAATCCGTTAAGTCCTTTACTCTACTAGATAAATGATATGCAATAACTTGGTCTTAATACACAATCCAATCCCAATGGCCTAAAGGTGGGTCCTAATAATTCCAAGACCCAAATACTCACAATTACGGTTTTTCTACACAAACATGGCCCAATAGGACCAAAATTAATCATTAATCCTATTAGGGTTTTGCTAGGTCCATTAGGGTTTTGCTTGTGGGGCACCACCCACTACCACCTCGGGGTAGTGGTGCTCAACGGCGGTTCATAGCGGCGGCCACCCACCTTACCGTGGTGGTTATGGTTCTTTTCATTATTCTTTGCTAATTGAAATTACAATGCTTAATCCAAAAATAAACACACACACACACACACTAACTAATACACACACACAGCCAACCTAGCGGTGGCCGACGGTGGTACGTGGCGGCAGCCACCTCCTCAATTTGGTGGCGGTGGTTGTTCTTGGGAATTCCGGCTAGACAAAACACCTACAATCTTATGAAATATGGACACAAAAAGTCTACTTGGATACACACCCTTACACAAGCTCGTGGCGGTGGTTGATGGTGTCAAGATTCGATAAAAGGCGGCTGAAGGAAGGTTACACGATGACAGCAAGGTAATGACCACCATGGTGGGTTACCATGGTGGTTCCCACGCTTTTCCGACCAACACAGAGCATGAACACACCCACGAACCCGAGCTGAACAAGGGAAACAATCCAAATCAAAACCACCTCACTATGGCTCATATCAGTCGGAGGAAAAGGCAATGGAATTGCCTACTTTGTTTGTTGAATAAACGGTGACGACGACTATCAGCTAAATGAAGAGCTCAGAAGCAAGGGATGGTTAGAAAAGCACCGATAGCATCTAAGTGCGTCTGAGAATCGCGATCAACGATTAGAAGAAGAAGAGAATTGCGACAGAGAGATAGTAGTGGCGCTCACAGCTTTACCAATGGTTCTTGTTATCGCTGACAGCAAAGCACGATGGTGGCGGTCATTAGCAAGCAATGATGGATGAAAGGCTACTCCAACAGATCAAATCGGTGGACAAAGGGGGAAGGGGGTGGCGGCTGATGTCACGCATGGCGGTTGAGCCCTTGAGTTAGGGTTAGGGTTCTCATAAGCTTTATATACCCGCTACTATTGAAACGTATTTCCATAATGACCATTATGGTCCCTCTTTTTCATTCTTCTTTCAAACTCAGTCTTTGATTTACCCTTTCTACCCTCACCCCTGAAATCCTTTACAATTTAAGTACAAATTTTACCAAACAACCCTTGATTCTTAAAATCCTTTCATACAAGTCCAAGACTTCCCAAACACCCCATGCCTTCTAAAAACCTTTTCAAAATAGATCCCAAAACTTATAATTTTAACCCCCACTTCTAAATTTATAACTTTTAATCCCTAGAACTAACGCCTTGCTACATTATTCCACATTCAGGGCTACTATTCATATTAATTTTTTTTTATCTATTCATTTATTTAACAAACAGGATGTTACACGCGGAGATATATTATTTTGTTTAACAGGCTGGTATACCTTAGGTTGAGGTTCCTTAACAGGTTATTGCACCTCAAGTTGAGTGTTAGTTTTCACTAAAGGTTATTCTTCACTTAACTTTTGAAGCTCTTCTAAGTCAATATGGCTCCCACTATCCTCTTTGAAATAATTTCCCTCTCGAGGAAAAATCCCCTTCGAGCAACAAACACTTTGTTCTCAGAAGGCTTGTAGAACAAGTAACCAAAGGAATTTTGTGGATAACCAATGAAGTAACACTTCTTTTATCTGGGCTCGAGTTTATCATTTGCCTCATGAAGAATGAAAGCCTTGCAACCCCAAACCTTTATATGTACTAGAGAAGGACGTGTCCCGCTCCATATCTCATAGGGTGTTTTAGCAACCTTCTTAGTGGGTACGAGGTTTAGGATGTGGGTCGATGTCTCTAAGGCATACTCGACAAAAGATATCAGAAGTGTAGCTCGAGTCACCATAGATCGAACCATATCTAATAGCATTTGATTTCTTCTCTCATCCACACAATTCAACTATGGTGTTCTGGGAGGATAGAATTCTCAAACTAT